ATATATTTAATAATAATAAAACCATATGTTTCCCCCACACAATCTTTATCTATTTACAGCCCATGCTAAATAAGCAGTTAATTCAATCTAACGATCGATTAATCGATCTGTTGTGTGTGCGAAAAAGCAAGAAAAAAGCAAAGAAAATGCAAGAAATCTAATTAAAAATAAAAAAATAAATTCAGTATCTAGTGAGAAAATTGAAAGAGAAAAAGAATAAAAGTATCACGAAAATGTGCTAAGTGAACGAGTTGAAGATATCTATTAAAATCCGCCGTTAAGCAAAAGCTATAGAGTTAATGCTCTCTCACAAATCGGGATATTTGTTCAATGGGAGGAGCGCGCCCATTTAAAATTATGCGCCTCCACAACGGCATACGAGAAATGCTATATAGATCGTGATCGTAAACGAAACATGGTACGCGACAGCAGCCGTAACATTTGTTTTGGAAAATTAGCCGAAACTACGCAGCAGCAACAACAACAAATCGCCGTGGATAGTAGCAGCAGCAACAGCAGCACCAACACCAATAACAACAACAACAACAATAATAATAATAATAATAACAATAATCAGAAACTACGCGATACATTAAAAAGGTAAGCAAAAGGATCTAAAGATAAAATACTAATACAAATGTTAGCTAATGGAAGTGAAAATGTTTTACTGATATGCATTAGAAAAGGCTGGAAAGCGTGTTTCATTGGAACATATTGGAATGAACTAGAAAGCGCTCCGGTAGACTATATTATGATACGAAAGAGAAAATGGACCCACAAGAAAGTAAAAATAGATAGATCTCCGTTAAAAGTAGAAGGAAACATTCTAGACTAAATTGAGAAACTAAAAGAAATATCTTATAAGGTAAAATATATTAAAATATTAAATTGTAATAGAAGTTTAAGCAAAATAAAAGAGAATTCAGAAGGAAAGCGAAAATTTTAATATTTGTATAATTTAAATTTAATGGTATGGGAAGATAAGAAAAATGTGATACGTGAAAGGTTTATATATTTTATTCAGAATTTGTGAACAACTTTAAAAATGTAAGCAACGATTCTCTAGTATCGAAATATACATTTAGTTATTGTAAATATTGTGAGAATATATTTATGGTTATATATATATATGTCTGTAAAATATGTATATAATATTTTCCCATCGCTTAAATACTTCGTAAGATTTTTACAGATATTATAAAGAGCATTTAAGATACTCGGATGTATCTCAGATATTCTACCTAGATTCCCATTCGACAGAGGCAGACAGGTAGCTAGAAGTTGTAGTAACTAACAATGGATACTTTTAAATATATATGATACCTTGATAAACTACAGATACTTTTAATAATAACTGCAGATACATTTGTATATGTTAATGTAGATACATATAAATCAAGATACTTTCAAATACAGTTGATATTCTAATATTTGATACAACTATACTCTCAAATAATGCAACTGCACTCAGATATATTCATGCATCCCAGCTCAGATACATTCCCCCCATTTACCAGGAATATTCAAGATACTTTGGAATTTTTCCGACTGTGTAAATCTCTCTCGCAGTTAGCTGGAAGTTTTCATACGTGGAAGCAGCAAGAGATGCGTGTCTAAAATGCAACTCAGCCTAGCTGCAGCTGCGTAGGCCCTAAAGCCAACTAACGGTTGACATAAAGCCAAAAAAAGAAAGAAAAAAAAAAAACAAATAGAAGAGAGAAGAATATAAGAAAAAATAAATTTAAATGAAATGCAAAGTATCTCGAGTGGCTGCGCGTGGGTCTTGGCGCGACTCGAGACTCGAGATTTGAACCTCGAGCTACTTGCAGCGCCCACTGGCCACAGTGAGTTGTTGTTGTTGTTGTTGTTGTTGTTGTGGGGCTTATCCGTCACGGGGATCTGTGACACGTTGACTGCCTGGCTGCCCGAAAGTATCTCAAGATGCAGCTTAGCTGCACTCGTATCTGTAAGATACAGCCGTGCGTGTAAGTGGCCCAGCCTAAAGAGCCAAACGCGTAACTTTTTACCTTGACTTGTCGTCGCATCTCGCGCTGCTGCTGCTGCTGCTGCTGCTCTTACCTGCCTGCCTGCCTGCCTGCCTGCCTGCCTGTCTCTGTGTGTCTTGGCCAACTGTGTGGCGACGTGTACAGTAAAATCGACACGAGACGGACATGTGGCCACTGTCGTCGTCTATTTTGCGTTATTACGTAATTTCGTACACAATTTTTTGTTGTTTTGCTTCTTATATTTTTCTTTTGGGCAACACTAGAATTGTATGTGCGTGTGTGTGTGTGTGTGTGTGGCTCTTAGACGCCTCTGTCTGCCTTCATTTGTGTTCGTGTTTGTTCTCTTGGCCAAAACAAGTTTTGTGGCCATTTGTTGTTGTTTCTACCTCTCTATATAGACACGTACATATTTATTTATTTATTTTGTATACCCTGCCTGCACAGCGGACCCAGAGAGACTCTGCAGGTGTATAGCAATTAGATAATAATATTAATAGCAAAATTATTAATATTGAATATTTTCAAATATATATATAGGGTAACTGGCTAGTCGTGCACACACCACTCTTGTAAGAAAATAATTCAGTTTCTTTTATTACATTTTTCGTTTCTTTGTTTTTCCCCTTAATTTTTGTTGGGTGCAAAAGTCGCCGTCTAATTGCTTCATTAGCCAAAAAAAAAAAAAATAAATAAATAAAA